ACTGAAAGACTTGGAAATGGACCCTCGATGCGGCGACGTGCGCGAGTCGGAAGTGTTCTGTCTGATGTGTCAAAAATGGGTCAAACTTAGCCGAGATGTCCCATACATCGATGCGAATTGGATACGACACGCGTCGCGGTGCAGTGAGAAGAACTGGTACTTCATTTCCAGTTAACCTCCATATGGGAGCTGACACGCTTTCAGGTTAAATCCATTAGTCCGCGCACTATCGCCATTCGACATCAAACCCGACATCGACAAACTTGATTCCGATGCCTTGGAAGTTGAAGAGTTGTGTTTCCGTCCCGTTAACTCTACACCAGATCTGGAACTACGACAATCGTAAGTTTATCCCTCACTATTATCCAAAACCGGTTCCGATTTCTGCGACAGATCAAAACCTACGGACCGCCCTGCCCTGCCTACCACAAACGATGGTGAGATCGTTGAAGCTGTGCCATTTGAAGTACCAAGAAAACGTACACAAGAGGAACGAAAACAAGCTATGCTCGACGACCCTCGATGTTCTGATGTCCAGCCGTTCAATGTTACCTGCAACATGTGTTCGCGGCAGATTGGTCTGCACGGGAAGAAAGCGTACTTCATTTCCAACTGGCTGCGACATGCGGAGTCATGTGAGGCTAAATCAAAGTCAATGACATTTGCATTCCTCTTTCAACGCATTATTGACGAGTCACTACTATCCAGACGCGCCGAAGGACCAATAGAGAAGCCCGCACCATCAGTACTTCAACTGGCCAGTGTATCAAAGTTGGTGCTTTAGCCGATCCCCCTTGGGTAGCCGCTGATCTTTTGTCATACAGACGCCCAGATCCTCCGAACGCGAAACCAGCAGGGCCAGTGCTTCAGCTCGCCCCAGATTTTATCCCCTCCCCTGCTGTCTCATGGAATATACTCAAAGAACACGAAAACGAACATTCCGTGAAGCATCGACGCAGTCGAGATCAGCGCGCACAGGAGTTGCTGAATGACGATCGAATTGGTGAAGTTGAGCCGCATCGCGTTTTGTGCAAGATATGCAAGGAGTGGGTTGGCTTGCATAACAGCAAAGAGTACTTCTCGTATACGTGGTATAAACACGTGGATAGGTGTGAGCAGAAGCGAAAAGGGTATGTCTCTCTGTTATGCCAGCCAATTGATTGGACTCGAACTTACAACGATCGCAGAATCACTCCAAAGCGCCGCACTGCGGATACTCCGGTGGACGAGGTGCATCACGTACCGAAAATCCCGTTCTCTCGCAAGACCCTCGAAGAGAGGAAGACGCAACTCGAGAGCGATCCCCGCGTTGGCGACGTTGAGCCCCATCGCATACACTGTAAAGTCTGCGACAAGTGGCTCAAGCTCAATAACGACATCGAGTACGCGACGTTCAACTGGTTCAAACACATCTCGAAATGCGATGGGAAGACTGCGTGAGCATTAAATTTTCCTATCCTACCCGTAGGCAATCGTCCTCACATGTTTTTTGATACAGGTCTCCCGTCAAAGGGGACGTTGGTCCAAGCGAGAAACCAGCTGAGGTAGCCGAGGTGGTCGAGGTACCACCACCGCCGAAGACGAAGACACGCACGACGGCGCAAGAGCGCGAGGTTAAGCTACGCCAGGACCCACGTCTTGTCGAAGTGGAAGCCCATCGGTGTTTGTGTGGCATGTGTGGGCGGTGGCTTAAGCTGCAGAATAAGATCGAGTATGATGCGCATAATTGGCTCTCGCATGCGATCAAGTGCGAGGTGAAAACTGGGTGTGTATCCAATCCTTGTTTGCAAAGTGAGGCAACGTTGTTCTGACTTTTAATACTGTGCAGATGGAAACCTGGGTCTACTCTGAACGCGACCTCGATCGCCGACCCCGATCCTGAGGGATTGAACGCTGTTAAAGTCGAACCATCGACAAGCACACCGGAGCTCCTGGCCAAGAAACCGTGTCCCCCCGTCCCTCGCCCTCGCGGACGCCCACCATCATTCAAGGTCAAACCTGAACCGACCACCACGTCCATCGGCACGCCTCTCGACAAGTTCGTGCGCAAGTCGGACGCGCAGCGCGAGGCGGAACTGCGTGCGGATCCCCGGCAGAAAGGTGTTGAGCGCGGACGCGTGCTATGTGGGAGCTGCGACAATTGGATCAAGCTGAACTATCAGCACTCGTTCTTGCCAGGGAATTGGCTCAGGCATGCGGAGAGGTGTCACGGTGCGGGTCGCGCGGATGTCGTGAAGTGTGTTATTTCCTTGCACATATAATGACGTGATAGTTTGCACGCGTTTCTGACCAATTTTGTTATACAGGAAAGAAGATGTACCGGCTGCGATTCCATCCGGGCCGAAGAGTGTGAAGCTCAAGCTCAAGGCGGACGTTGTAGACGTCGATGAGGACGAAGACATGGAAGGATTTGACAGTTCCGTGTTCGGCTGCGTCGAGCTCGGACACCTCGTATTAGCATACGATACCGCCATCTCAGCGCTGGGAATCAGCGTCCCTCCCCTCCCCGAAGATAACACGTCTCTGCTCTCCCCATCCACGACTTCGCTTCCACCGCGTACCCCCATCTCTTCCAAGACTCTCGTAAACGCTATATCTTCCGCGACTCCCGGTGGCAGGCGGGTGCATCGCACTCATGAAGGGCGGAAGAAGGAACTCGAGGCTGATCCTAGAGCTCGCATAGTCCAGCCCACACAAGTGCAATGTGATATCTGTGGACGGTGGATCCAGCTCCGCCGTGATGTCGCGTATAGTGGGCAGAATTGGTACAAGCATGCAGGAATTTGCGCTGGGAGAACTGGGTAAGGACGCACTCTTTTGAACAGCAATGCCACGATTCTGACAATTCATTGTACAGATGGAAGGCACCGGACGGCTTAAAATACGAACCAGTGGATGACGCTCCCCTTGATATCACTCCTAGTCTACCGAAATCGACTGGATATATCAGCCCACCACCAATCTTGGGCGAAGCCTTGTCACGAATTGATTCTACGGAGACAACACCCGAAAAAGATGATGAAACACCTATGCCTTACAGCGCTCGCAAGGCTCGCGAGTGTGCTTCGCACTTGCAAGAGGACAAATTTCTGGGCGCACCGTTGTTCACACCTGTTATCTGGGATGCCGCTGGTGACTTGACAGATGCGGAGTCGATTTGGGAGTCGGGCTCTGTCGTTTCCATTGCCGATTTTTGAGATTCGACCGTGTACATTTGACGCTTAGACACCGCGACACCTTTTACATACACATAATACACCGAGGCGATAGTGTACAGTACCGAACCCGATATCCTTGATAATTACGCTGTTCCTTTGACAAAATAAATACATGAGTCCAAGTGCGCGTTATTTGTGGTTGTTGTTTTCGACACTTTGACTCTGCCATTGTGTCTGTCTCAGCGACGAGCTCTTGTTCAACACCGTATAAGACGGCGAATCCGCGACATCCCCCATTCCCAGACCTCTCTCTCTCTTACCATCATGAACGCATCTCGCTCAATGAAACGATCAGCGTCGGTGGCATCTCTGCCAACTCCACCGCGCACCGTCAACTCCCGCAAACGCCATGCACCGTCAAGGCCACAGTCGCGCACCTCAAACCGCTCTGTGCATTCTCATCACTCGTCGTCCTCCGAGGACACCGATGGTGGTGAGAAACACGCGGAAGACGACGACGACGACGATGGCGGGATGCACATCGTGCCACACCCCGGCCGCGTCCTTTTCGCGCCACGCAAGAAACAGCGCACAGACCGCCTCGACGCGGTCGTCGGCGCGCTTGCAGGTGCAGATAGAGAGAATCCCTTCTGGGATGGGCAGCAGCAGTCGATGGACTTGGAGGAGGATGACGCCGACAAGACTGTTCATCCTGTCCCTCGCACACGCTCGTCCTCACCGGAGGTCGAGGAGGACCGCGTCAAACATCGCTCTCATGCACCAGTGTCTCCTCCACCTTCCCGCAGGCAGTCTAAGAAGCAACGCAGGGCCCCGCCTTCAGAGCCTGCCACCCCTCCACCGGAACCTTCCACCGCCCCATCCGGTGCCCCCAGACCAGTCCGCGACTCGCCTGCTAATCCATTCCTCGACGAGTCACCAGCATCTGGATCTGGTGACGCAGAGCCACGTACACCTCCCCCACCCCGCGCGCCAACTGAAGATGCCGAGAAACCGACCATATCTTACGTCTTGTACGATCCCTTCCTCCTTTCTTTCTACATGCCACTCGTAAACTGACGTTGGATTGCGATATTGTAGCCGCGGCATGAGGGCCACCTTCGCGAACCCTTTATACAATCGCTCGCCATCCGAGCGTGCGCGGTCCCTCCTGCCACTCGAACACCCCGATTACGAACCCGACCCTGCATGTCCGCCGCGGGACCTCTTTGGCGCACGGAAGAGGCGTCAACGGACAAACGCAAAACCTGTTCGGGATGGTAAACGAAAGGGAAGCGTTGGCGGAGGAGGCACGAATTCGGAATGGGATAGCAGCGAGAGCGAGGGGGAAGGCGTGGCTCCTGCTTTCAGTCCTCCGAAGCGTCTCTTTCAGGCATAGGGACGCCTTTTTCCTTTCCCCGTTCTTAGATTTGTTCGTTTGCGTGCATGGTTTAGAACACTGGTTCATCGTGGAATGAACATTGCGATACCTCAATTCCCCACCCAACTCCCACCTCACCCACGCAATAAAGCATTCGAATCGTACACATCTTACTTACATCTTTGACATGCACAACAAATCGATATACACCATCATCTCGTTCATGTATGTATCGTACAATATTTCACTCTCGATATGTTTTTGACTTTTGGGAGTGGATGAAGGCTTGCAGAATAAATGAAGAATGACTTTGGCCCCAGACTCTTTGAATTTAGTATGAACTATTTGCGCCAAATGGCTTGGTTACCGTTTGTTGGAAGCACATGTAAACGAGTTCAGCGTCCAGAAATTTGCCGTTTCGGTGAAGGACAGTTTACACTAGCTCACCTTCTCACATTTTGAATGGGTGTTTAACTCAGTGGTAGAGTGTTCGCTTTGCATTCAATGCTGCGAAAAGTCGAGCGTTCGATCCGCTCATCATCCATCTTTCTTGGGTATAAAAAGTTTTTTTGTCTCCAACACGGATGTTTATCCGATTCCGACTTTTGAGAAGTTGAACAACTGGTCAGAAAGCGATGGTGTTCAAATGTTAAGTATATTTTTGAATCATAGATGCAGAGTCAGCAGATAACAAATACGAAATGTGATACAACAACTGATCCCATTTCAACTATCTCGCTTCTCTTGGTTCTGTTCGTTCGCATGTTTCGGATTAGAAATGTATCAAATTGCATGATAAAATGAAACTCACGAGACCACTGGCAATTCAAGATCAAATTATCATATCCCATCCCATGCACCTTCGCCATCGCCTTCTCCGCAACAGCCTTCTCCTCAAAGCTAACAAACGCATACCCTTTCCCAATACCCGTCTCGCGATCCCGCCCAATGTACACCCTTACAACGCGCCCGAACGACCCAAAGAGCTCCCGCAGGTCGTTGTCACTCGTGTCTTCTGACACGTTCGTGACGCGCAATGTTGGGAGGTCGTCGCGGTTCCCTCCAGGCCGGCCCATCGCCTCGCCGGGTCGAGCACCTGCGCCGGCGCGCATCGATGGAGGGACGTATTTACCGCCTGTCGATGGACCTGCTGGAACGGGTGCAGCGGCCTCTGCAACGCCGAGGCCGTCTTCGTCGCCGATGGGAGGTGTTTCTGAGAGGATTGTGAGGATGTTATTAGCGCATAGGGTAAGTATTGAGAGTTGGGCATCCAAACCTGCTCCGTCAAGACCGGCCAATGAGTCTTTGTAAGGACACTTCGCGGTAAAGTGGTCGCCTTTACACAGACGACAGGTGACTTTGCCCGCGCCAGCCTTGGCAAGATTAGCTTTTATGTTTTGATCTTCCGAAGGCTCTGGTTCCGTTGCCTTAAGGATAAAATTTGTACATATCAGCATCTCTTTCAGAAATACGATTTGGAGAAAACGCACCTTATTCCCAGCAGTGAGTTTCAGAGTGACATTCTCGCCAACAGTTGTCGTAGCGCGGTCAGGACCTGGCTTGTTGCCCTTCTCCTTCCCGAACTTCGCCCATGTCTTTCTCTCAGCCACTGCGTGCTCAACAACGGCCTTCTGCAGAACCCGTTTGATCTTGCGAGTTACCTGCATGCCAGGAATGTTTTAGTACAGGAATCCTCAATGGTGTCATGTTCGACGTGTTACACGCACTTTTACTTTCTTTCCTTCGTCATTCACAGTGTATTCAATCGTCGTCCGGACGCCGTTCTCGTCGACGGTTTCCTCGATCTTTGGAAGTCTCGGTTGTTCTGTAAAATGTTCAGTTTCCCGATTATAAACCTCCAGACGTTGTCCACGTACCAAGCTCATCTACGTCGTCTGCCCATGATGTCTTCCTGCAAAAATGGTTAGAATACTGAGCCTGAAGGACAAGCTGTTAACTCACGATGTCGTGGCCATGATAGAAAAAATATTTTCGTTCCGACAAGCTTGGTAAGTTGCTGATAGTCTATTTAGGCTGTGATTACTAAGCACATAAATATCTCCTTCAATCGACGTCAACCTATTCAACTTCCATCTGTTCATATGCGCGTCCCAGCCTATCATTTCCATTCTACTGTCATTTTTTTCTCACTCCTGTATATAATACACTCAAAGCCTACTCAACTATTTTACAAGTGAACTCTTCGTTGCCGACTGTCACGGTTTCGACGCATACTCGTCTGCGAAACTCACATCTGCCGCTAAGGTTTAACGACCTGGGCCACATCAAACCGTTAACCACCCACGATGCCTTACGGTTCCCAACTTCCCATCCTGACATCCGCTGCACCTACACGCCGGCACCACCCGTCAAGCCCTTCAATTCACCCATTCTAGGAAACATCGGAGTCAACACGTGAAGATAGTTTGCCAACTTGACTTACAACATTTGCACTCACCATCATGTCGAGATTCTGAGACTAGGTCCCGGCTGGTTGTTCCTCCCTTCTGTCGCTTTGCACCACTGGCACCGGCGATGGTAATAATTCAAAACTCGACAGCCAGTACACCTCTGGGTTACCTTCGGCTAAGAGGATGGACACCTCGTTGACCTGGCCAGCGTGTAGTTCGGACGGTTCAAGTACTCGTTCCCATTCTACAAAATTATCTTCGCGTGGAAAATGGTAGTGGTCGGAATCCCTTCTTTCATTAACCTGGATGATCATATGATTTTCTACAAGAGTGACGTGGGTCAATCTCAGTAACATGCCACCTTCGTTCGGAGGCGTAAACCGGATGACGCATCGAGATACTCCTGGATATTCAAACAACAAGTAGGGATTTCCTCGTCGGTAATAATCGGTGACCCTGATCGATTCATAGTAGGCTATCGTTTGGGCCACATGGTCTTCAGGTTGTCTCGTGAAGATCACCTCGCAGCCCCGGCTAATCGCGAGTCTATTTTGATAAGTTCGTATTTTGCCTGCAAACCCCCTCATATCCTCATCCCTGGTTAAGTTGATGCTCGTGAGCTGTGGCTTGTCGTCCTTAATTGCAGTCGCGATGCTGGAAGCTTCATCCGATGTCAAAGAACAATTTGTGAGGTCCAGAACTTCCAAGTTGGCGTTTCTCTTCAGAGCTCTGGCAACTGCGTGAATACCCTCACGGTCAATCATTCTTCTTGTTATCTCAATGTACTTGGCGTGTTTGCTGTTGGTAATAAATGCAATGGTTTGGGTGAACGGACTTAATTGAAGCGATTCATCAGCTGGATCCCGGTTTGACCATTCTGACGGTGTTTTCGCTATGTCGCTGCCCATTGTCCTTTCTTGTTCCAATCTGCTCTGCAGAATCTCCCATTTTTTGCGCATGGCTTGTTGGATCTTGACAGCATTCTTCAGCCTTCCTTCCATATCCCTTTTACCTATCGCGAGGATCTCGTCTAGTTCACTAACATCGCTCTGTTGGGTTTCGAAAGGATCATTGGAGTCCCAATCCGCATCGATAGCAACAGCCCAAGCCTTACGGAGTTTATCTTCCAGGATGTCCATCTTTTCCCGCAACAGCCTGCTGTTTGCAGAACCAAGTTCATTAGCCTCCATTCTCCGTTGAGCGGCCTCCCACATGACGGTCAATCTTTTACTCGTGTGATCCCGCTCTTTTGTCAGCCGAGACTCTGCAAACTTGACGCATTCTCTCATTAATCTCTTGTCCGTCTCGCCGGATGGTTCCTCGAGGGTTTCCCTATGTGCTAACGCAACAACAACTTTTTGGTGCGTTTCAGAGAGAACTTTCTCCATGGCCACGTTCTCTTCGACAAGAAGCATTTCCATGGCAGCACCTTCGAATAAAAACATATACTCCAGCTCTCTGCGAGTTTCCGATTTGTCAATGGGGAGATGCTGCAACCAAGACCCATCCTCCAATGTCTCGCGGGTGATTAGCTGCATGTATTCTTCTGACCATCTGCGAAGCTTTCTGGCCATCTTGCGCCGGTCCCATTGTTCTCTCCCTGCATCTAGATAGATGATATCATCGTGTGAAGAATCGCTGTTACCACTATGCACGGGTTCAACGACGTTGTCGCAGCCATGAGCGTGATTGACGGTTGAGTTGGGAGTGCCACTGTCAGAGACAGCGCCTAGTTGAATGGTCCCGCCGCTGTCCGGAACCCGTTCATCTGGGCCAACAACTACGTGGCTTTCGAGACATTGTTCATGCAAGTTGGATGTAGTGGCTGCGTCTTCTGTAGGGGTGACGGGAAAACGGCCAGCTCGGCTCGATATGCTCAACTTGTCACCAACCGCTTCATCGCCTTGATCACCATAACGAAGGTAAAGATTTTTGATTTTCGTCCAATAACCAACAACAAAGCATTGGGATGCCGCCGTCTGATCCCGGACATCTATATCTAACCCCCACGTTATGAAAATGGCGAGCATTTTCGGGTCCAACGTGTGTGAAATTTCGCCGTCTCTACTTTTAAAGCCATTGAGGATAGCTTGGTAGTGGTTTTTGAGCTCCTGCATGACGTTCTCATTGTCGGCTACGTGGCGACTAGTTTTGATAGCAATGCCTTTTTTCATATATGCCTCAACAACTCCTTCTTCTTCGTCGTATTCCAGAGAGGCAATAGAGACAATGGGATCACGAGGTGCCGGAGTTGTGGTTGGCCATACGATGACTCTCGATGTCCTCTCTTTGTAGTCATGCATTGTGATGTACAGCACTCTTTCCTTCGAGTCTTTTCGTGTGAGGGTATAGTATAGCGAGACACGTGTGTCATCAAATCTTTTCACCAGTCCCGCGTAAGCGGTGACGTTCTCCAAAAAGTCACGATCTCGGACCAATGGAATCACACACTCAGTGTCCAGTTCCTCTGCATACTTGTTACATGTGACCAATGGGGCGACGCGGGAGAGCTGAATCGACAAGGTCAATCTAGTGTCCTGGTCCCACGTAGGATCCAAAGCCCATACTGCCGTTCGCAGCAATGACAATGAAACCTCCAAAACTAGCCAAATCGTAGGCCCCAGCCCAGAGGCAGAGTTCACTAAACTGAAGCAACCGATATAGCCGAAGACCGAGAGGGCTATACCGCAAGGCAAGAGGAACAAACACACGACCAGCAAGAAATGTCCCCCATCATTGAGATATTTAGTTTTTAGGTTTTGCAGATATTCTTGTAAGTCTCGTAATTCCGATTCGGATGTTGAGGTTGAAGACGTTGTGGTCCTTGTGGATGTCGACAATTGGGACTCGCGCCGCCCACCCTTCTCGAGATCGAGCTCGCCGTTTGGCTTGTCGCTAAGGTACCGATCGAGTCGATGTAGACAGCTCGCAGTCCGCTCATCTGAACTCCAGCCACATGCTTCCAATAATTTGCTGGCCAAATTATGAGAAGCGATGTTCCTATCCATCGCTCTGAAAAGCAAGCGCCCGTTCACAATATCCACTATTCGCCTTTGTGTCGCATATTGCATCGTTGCTGTGACAATGAAGCTGCCAACGACTCGAATAATCGGTAAAACCCATCTCAACGGCC